CCCCCCCCCCCCCATACTGGGAGTTTAGAAAGTACATATTAGAATGTTGGGGGTTTTTCTGACTTCAGTATTGTGGAGAGGTAATGTTTTAAAGTGAAAAATACGGGTTCAAGCTCGTAGACTGTATTCACTGTTGAAGTGAAGAAGGGAATGGGAGACACAGGAAGCTTAGGTAACGTGATGTAGACAATGCTAAATAAATATGATTTTAGGGCAGTTCTTACCTTCTTGAACACCACATTTTTAGCATTTTAGAATATAAATAAGTGTGTATTTATAGTATAAGGGACTTAGTGATACTTGAAAGCAAAGCATGCAGGTATTTGTTTCAGTAGCACATTTTGTATGTTTAAGTATGTTAACGCTATGTTCTAGTTCCCGGATAAACGTAATATGAATAATTGAAGCTGAACAATGTGGCAGAAAGGAAATATAAGCTAGATAAATAACTGAATTGCTGTCCCATTGTGTTGTAGCCTTCTGTTTCACCTTTCTCATAATATGAAGAAATGTCATTGCCTATCTAGAACATTACCCTCTTCTGAAAACCGCATCTGAGCAGGTCTTTCTTTTTTCCTTCACAACCAGTAGCAGAAACTTGAATTATACTTAGAAAATTGTTTCCTTTTTTATATGAAAGTCCTTCTTTTTCTGGAATTGGCTTTGAATGATGCCATAAATGTTGTTTGGTTGGACTTTGTCACAGATTTAATAATAATTTTGGATATTTAGAGAATTCTCTGAGGCTGGTTAAGATGAGTGGTATTTTGGGGATCCTTTGAGGCTTGTACGTACTAGCTTTCCTTTAAACTTACCAATGTCTTCTGGCCAGATGAATTTGCTCAGCTCATTTATATTTTACATTATTGTGTACCTGTGTGGTTTAGCTGCGTTTTTTGCATGCCACCTGGATACACTTTACCGTTGTTTTTTGTGCTGCTAGATGTGTCCTCAGTGAGAGGAGGACAAGGTGATGAAACGGCAAGAAATTGCTGGTAGTTTCTTGAATTAAAATGAAGCTGAGGTTCCTTGCAAGCTTTATTGCAAAAGGCTTTTTTCAGTTGTTCAGGCCTATGTTTATGTCCAGTTGTGTGTGTCTAGTTCCAGGTGTAAAAGTGATAGGATTTTTGAGGAGTTTCTCTGTATCTTAGTGTGCTATGCCAGTGTGACTATTCTTGATGCTTCTTGACCAGCCTGCCAGCTTATTGTATTGTTTAGTGTCTTAAGTCCTGCAAACTGCCTGCATGCTTCAGTAACATGCTGATGTTTTAATTTTTAAGTGTTTGAAGATGCAGATCTGAACCTCGTCATCCCGTCTGCACTGTTTGCCGCTGTGGGAACAGCAGGTCAGAGGTGCACAACTGCCAGAAGGCTGGTGAGTAAGTGTGTATTGTCTGTATTTGGGTAGCTCTGCCTTTCATCTGAATTCCCAACTAGCTCAGAAAATGCCTAACAAGTCCTAATATTTTGGAGAGCAACAAATAGGCTTTGAAACGCATTTTTACTTTGTTAAAAATTAGTATGATGGAAAAATAAGATGGTAGTTTGTCATTCCACTATAATTCTGGCTCTAAAAAGTTTCTTTTTATGTGTTTCTAAATGTACCTGGTGCTGAAGCTCAGGAAAATAAAACTTCATGTATTTCTGTCTGTTTTCACTGCCAGAGCTGCTTTGCCTGTGCCTGCTACAAATTTTGGTCCAGGGTTTAGATTTCGCCAAAGCAAGAGTGTGTGTGTTGCTTACCTTATTATTGATTTTTCACCAGTCCTTTTCAACAAGTTTAAAGGTGTTACAATGTCAGCCTGTGTTTGTACAGTGTTTTCAGAATAGGGGTTGATCGGGTAAATACCCGTCAAAATTGATGCAGGTTAACTTTCGGTGTATAGGAGGGGCAACGATTCCTTAGAGTTTAAGTTTGAGCAGCTCTACCTCCACGCTTCTTTCAGCCCTTTTCAAAGTGCAGTAGTGCTTCAGGAGTAGTTACTTAGGCTGAGCTGTCTTAAAATGTTCTTACCGTGTGTTGTTTAGTTCCTCCATGAAAGCGTCCACGATGAGGTGGTGACAAAGCTTGCGAAGGCCTATGCCCAGGTCCGCATCGGTGATCCGTGGGATTGTAAGTAGCTATTACCAAATCCTGGTCTTAGGAGACGAGTTTCCATTTGTTTCTTTTTGTTAAAATTCCAAAGAGTTTATAGATCAAAACTGTCTAATTTTAGAAGCTTACCAGGGAGTGGGGATGGCTGGTTTCATTTAGAATACAAACTCTGAAAGGGAGATGAAGAATCCAGCTAATACTGCTTATCTGGGACAGATTAAATGATTGCTTCCAAAATGTCATGATAAGAATATTGGCAAATGTAAACACTTTTGCTGAAAGTGCATCTTTGGATCTTTTGTTTTTAGCTGACACTCTGTATGGGCCTCTTCATACCAAAGAAGCAGTGAAAATGTTCCTCGATGCAGTAGAACAAGCAAAACAACAGGGTGGCTCTGTGGTCTGTGGTGGAAAGGTGACTTACTTGTATCCTCCCTGCAATGTTTAGTGCTCTAGGAAAATACCAGTAACGTGGTTTAGGCCAAGATTGTACCTCATTTTGTCCTGTCACTTGCTACAGGACGTTGTTAGTCAGAATGTTTGAATTGCAATCCTGTCTTAAGGGTAAAGATGGGCCTACATGGAAGCTACAGTCTTCTCCCAGAAGAGCTAAGAGCTCTGGCTGTTCCTTGTACCACTCCCTAGATGCAGGTGATGGTGAAAATACAAGCAGCAATGTAAATAGAGAGTGTCAAACCTGTTAGAAGGAAAAATTGCTGTTCTGTTCCTGGATTCACGATACCAAATTTCAGGAAATACTCAAGATTCAAGACAGCCACTTGCACATCTTCATCAGCGTGGGATGTTTAATTCTCATGGACTTAACGTTCTGGGAATTCTGGTCTTTCACTGGCACCTTCTTTATTCCTAATACCTTTAAAGTTGTAATCAGCTTACAGGTAGTAGACAGGAAGTGTTGTGTGTGAGTTAGACTTTGAGATTTGATGACCTTCTTAGTAGGCTAAGTTATCCTTATCTATTTAAAATACTTAAATTAGTAAAACTTAAGTTACCTGCTCAGATTAACTGACCTTCTATTTCTGATAGCTAGGCACAGCTATAGTGATCAGACCATGAAGGATTCCCTTCCTACACTAGTGCTAAGCAGGATGATGGTTTGAACTTACTGACTTGTGTCTTTTTATGTGTTTTGAAGGTTATAAATCGCCCTGGAAACTATGTTGAACCAACAATTGTGACTGGCCTTCCCCATGATGCACCCATTGTCCACACTGAGACGTTTGCCCCCATACTGTATGTGCTGAAATTTAAGGTAAAATAATAATGGGGTCTGAATCAGGTGTCAGGGATGCTAATAGGGGAGTCGGGGGAAATTTCAGATGTATGTCATATTCCTGTGATTATCCCGGCACTTCAAGAAGGGGTGACTGTTGCTGGGCACTGTGGGACATCAGTGTAACAGCTGACCTCATGGTGTAGCTGCATTTATGCATTTTCTGTAAAGACCAATGGAGTCAAGGTGAGAGTCTGTACAGGAATAGGTTTTTGTCATTCATGTCAACCTGCTCAAAAGCAGGTTGTGTGTTTTGGGCTGTGGTGGACGTATCCTATCCTTGACTTGGTGCAGGTGTGTTTGCCAAGTGGCATTCACTGTATTTACATTTTGGCTGTGGTATCATAGAATGGTTAGGGTTGGAAGGGACCTTAAAGCCCATCTAGTTACAAGCCCCCTGCCATGGACAGGGACACCTTCCACTAGACCAGGTTGCTCCAAGCCTCATCCAGCCTGGCCTTGAACACTGCCAGGGATGGGGCATCCACAGCTTCTCTGGGCAACCTGTGCCAGTGCCTCTCCACCCTGGGAAGAATTTCTTCCTGATATCTAATCTAAACCTCCCCACTTTCAATTTAAACCCGTTATCCCTTGTCCTGTCACTACAGGCCCTTGTAAAAAGTCCCCCCCAGCTTCCTTGTAGCCCCTTCAGGCACTGGAAGGGGCTATAAGGTCTCCCCGGAGCCTTCTCTTCTCCAGGCTGAACAAGCCCAACTCCCTCAGCCTGTCCCCATAGCAGAGGGGCTCCAGCCCACTGAGCATCTTCGTGGCCTCCTCTGTTGGGGTTTTTTTCTCACAGTGCTTCTTTGTAACTACTTTGCTTTGAATGGTCATGGTTTAACCATTGACACATGCTCCTTCTAGGAGGAAGAGGAGGTTTTTGCCTGGAATAATGAAGTGAAGCAAGGTCTTTCCAGCAGTATCTTTACCAAGGACTTGGGGAGGATTTTCCGCTGGCTTGGGTAAATTATTTTTATACCTCCCTGAACCATCAGATGACAGTCTTTCATGTCTTCTGTAAACCTATGCACAATGCTAGTTGAGCATTTTACAGCCCTCATTTTAGGGAAGGAGCCTTTCCTGATCCTGAGCAGTAATTGTGCCATATCTTGTTTGTAGGCCAAGGGGATCTGACTGCGGTATTGTGAATGTCAACATCCCAACCAGCGGGGCTGAGATTGGAGGTGCTTTTGGTATGTTCTCCTTTTTTCTTTATCCGTTAGATGATGAAATCCTCTAGCATTGGATCTAAAGATTTGGTATATTCCCCAGGCTTAATTTTTTTATTTTTTTATTTTTTTATTTTTTTTTTTTTAGACAGGGACATTTTTTCTTTTTCTAATGATTCTGGAAGCATTGCCACTGTAAATCTAGTGTAATTTAGGTCTCCTCATCTTATTTTTCAAGGTTTTAATCAGTCTATTTAAATGACTAAATCTGAATAATTCAGTGAAGTTAATTTTGAATTATGCTGCTTTAGCAGGAAAGAAATTGACTAGAGGTAGCTTGATTTCAGCTTGTAAAAATGTCTGTATTTGGTTTTTAAATATTCCATGTATCGTTTCCCACCCATCAACAGAATGTAACTCAGAAGTATGTTCTGAGTGTGTTTAGAGATGTGTCTGAGTAGAAAACTGTTTGAAACAGTTTTAATTAAGAGAGCCTTGAGCACTTTGGGTGTGTATGCTTACATGTGTATATAAAAATCACAGCATAAAGTACTTTTGTGAGCAAGTCTTCCAACACATTTTTTGCCTTGATTTCCCTTTTCTGTATATACTGAAGGAATTGGGGGGAGGGAAGAAGAAATACTCAGCCTCTCAGTACAGGAACCAGCACACTGTTGTACATGTTAAAGCAAAGTATCTTTAAAACAAGGTCCTCTGGTGCCAGCAGGATGAGACTTTCAACCCCAGGCAGATGTTTTTCGGGTCAGGCGTGAGGAGAGAGCTAGCTAGGCGCGTTGCATGTGGTGGTGGTCTGGTAATTTATTTCAGATGTACAGCAAAGGAATAGTTTTCCCCCATGAGTTTTATGAAAAGTCTTACCTCCTGGAGTTAGTCCAGGTTCCCATGCTCCGAAAAAAAATCAGGTTTTCATTTGTAACCTTTTTTCTGCAGGTGGTGAAAAGCACACTGGTGGGGGAAGAGAATCTGGAAGTGATTCATGGAAACTTTATATGAGACGGTCTACTTGGTAATACAGACTTTTAAAATTCCAGATAAATGTAAATTACAGATAAATTTGCAAAAGCTCAGAACTTATAAATCCTTGGCTGCAGGAGCTTACCTTTGCTAAATGTGGGATGACCACGTATGAGCGTGATAGCCTTTTCTTCATGCAGGTATTTACGCCTGCGTTCCTACTAGATGGTGATTTGAAGGGACTAGTTAAAGATCTTTCTTTGCTCACTCTTCCTCAAAAGGGAAAAAGAAACTGTGTTTTTCCCCCTTCTTGCCTGATTCTTAAGCTCAGCTAAAAATTCAACTAATGAAACCTGTCAGGAAATAGCCAGTGGCAACCAGAGTGAGGGGGCTGCTCTTGCCAGTGTTGGGGATCTGTCCGTCAGCCTCCTGACTGCCTTCGCGGTTGACATTCCCACTCTCTGCTGGCCTCCCTAGCTGTTACCTCTGCCAACGCTGGTTTCCACGCAAAGGCCTAGGAATGTGGGAAATCCCACCTTGATTTTCCCGCATGGATATTTTCCTAGTAAGAGACTTGAACAGAGAACGATACTTTACTTTCCCTTTGATCTACCAAGGAAGAGATGGTGGGGATTGTGGTCTTTCCCGGTACATAGTTACTATGGAAAACCAGAGTGAAGTTAGTTCCTGACTTTAAACAGGCAAGCTGCTTACAGAAGTCTTTTGTACACATACCACAGAAATCTGAGGCCTTGTTCATGGGCACTGGGCTGCATAATCTGTTTCAGGGGTCAGTTCTGGTCTCTAAAAACTTGTTTCTCTTCCAGTACAATCAACTACAGCAAGGATTTACCTTTGGCTCAAGGAATCAAGTTTCAGTAACAGCCTTATGAACCGCTGTGCCGTGAACTCTCCTAGCATTTCAGAACCAGGCACCTTCTAAGCCTCGTGGTGAAGAAAATTAATGATCTGAAACTTACCTGCAGCAAAGATACTAATTCTGTCTAAAAATCAGCTCCTCTAAAATTGCTTCACTTTCGCTGTATGAAATGACTGCTTCAGTCTCCGGATGAGAAGCGTGTGGTCTTTGGGAAGAAGGGAAGGTGACCGAAACTAACAGACTTGGATTCAGGTGGGCTGGATGATCTGTATCCTTATTGCTATATTCCAGCATCAACACGGTCTGTATCTCCTGCCCCCCCGCCGTTTGTGATATTCCCAGCTAGCAGGCCAATGCTTCCAACCGTGTGCTGATTTTCCTACAGATATCTGGTGCTGGGGGGAGGTGGGGGCAGTACAGGGCTATTTTTCAATGCATAAATAAAAGTACATTTTGTGAGATACCTTGAGCTTCCAGGTTTTCTGGTTCATAGATGTGGAGCAGGAAAGTTCAGCTGACTGTCTGTTTTCATACACTGAGCTGCCAGCTGGGGGAAGTGTCACTGAGGGCAAAGAATGGGTTTAGCTTTCCTGCCTCGCCGTCAGAAAGGAGGTCTTCACCCTGTGTGTTGGGAGGTAAGGGATGAAGCCAAGGGCTACTGCAGTCTCTTGGAACCTCCTCTTAACACGAGGAGGAGTCAGAGCCAATTCAGGTTGTCACAGCCCTTGTGACACCCTGGAAACAAACCAGTTGAAGAACTGGAGATGCGGTCCGGAGGGAATACTCTTCCAGAAGGAATTTGCCGGGAAAGGGCAAGTTGTTGGTGTGTTTCACCTTAGGTTGGGGTTTCTCATGGCCACTGAAGACTTACAGCCATCAGCAGCTACTTCAGGAGCCTTGCTCAGAATCCAGGATGAGAAAAGTCACAGTGCTCATGACCCAATTTTAGCTTTCCACAGTGTAACTCCCGAGGTTTATAATGCACCGTTTTTGGAGATTTCCTTTCAATCTTACGTACCAAATTTCCACAATCTGAACATGGCAGAGCTATTCGATTTGGGCTCATGTCAGAGGACTCTGATTCCACTTTTGATCTGATGCAAAGATGCTGGAATAGCGATGTCACCCGGATTGTGTTAAAGGTCCAACACACCACCATGCTAATGTTAATTAAATGTTAATATCTCATGTTAGAATACACGGAGCTTTGAATTCCACACCTGTATTACAGAAGGCATTTTGGGTGTCACTTTCTGCAGAACAAACAGTTGGCAGCTGAGGTTTTTTTCTACTGAAGTTGAAAGTTTCTTCCCACCGTTTCTCTCTCAGCCAGGTGAACTCCCTCCTGAAGTTACTTGTGCTCGGCCATTTAACAGGAAACAGATTTCATGGAAGGATGTTGTGTATGTGTTCACAGAAAGAGCTGAATTCCCCTAAGAAAGATAAATCATCAGCAGAGACAGGGGCAAAGAAACAAGCAGACTTCCAAATGGAATTATTCTGAAAATAGCACAGGTTAGAGAAACTTACTCTGTAACGCTGTTCTGCAGCCACGGAGGATCCTGGGGGAGCAAAGACCTGCCCGCAGCCCAGGGCGGACCCCACGCCAGAGCAGGGGAATGTCCCCAAAAAGCCTGTGACCCGGTGGAAGCCCATGCCGGAGCAGGCGGTTCTTGAAGGACGGCACCCCATGGGAGGGACCCACCCTGGAGCAGTTCATGAAGAACAGCATCCCGTGGGAAAGACTCGGGTTGGAGAAGTTGGTGGAGGACTGTGTCCCATGGGAGGGACCTCCACGCAGGAGCAGGGGGTGGCAGAATGTGAGGCGCCCTCCCCGCAAAGAAGAAGCGACGGCAGAGACAACGTGTGATGGAATGACCCCAACCCCCATTCCCCATCCCCCTGCGCTGTTGGGGGGGAGGAAATAGGGAAATGGGGAGCAAAGCTGAGCCTGGGAGAAGGGAAAGATCTGTTTTTATTTGTCATTATACTACTCTGATTTGATTGGTAACTAATCAAATTGATTTTTCTCCCTCAAGTCAAGTCTGCTTTGCCCTTGACCATGATGGGTGAGTGATCCCTCCCTGTCCTTGCCTCTGGACACAAACTCCTCCCCATCCCACTGGGATGAGGAATGAGTGAGGGGATATGTGATGTTTTGCTGACAGATGGGTCTAAACCATGATGCATTACTAGTTTTTGGATAGGTTCATTATGTCACATCTGTTGTTCTAGAATATAAAGGCCTTTTTACTCTTTGGATAAAATAATTCTAGAAGTCCACTGATTTAATTTACAGGAATAAGGTTAACTCTGCTGTCTGGCCTTAGATGGTAGAATCATTTGGGTTGGAGAAGACCTGTAAGATCATTGAGTCCAACCATTAACCTGACACTGCCTCCTCCACCACTAAGCAATGTCCCTAAGCACCTCATCCACACAGATCTTAAATCCCTCCAGGGATGGTGACTTCACCACTTCCCTGGGCAGCCTGTTCCAGTGCCTGACAGCCCTTTTGGTGCAGACAT